GCTCACTGCAACCTCCGCCTCCTGGGTTCAAGCAATTCCTGTGCCTCAGCCTCCTAAGTAGCTGGGATTACAGGCACTCGCCACGACGCCCGACTAATTTTGTGTTTTTAGTAGAGATGGGGTTTCACCATGTTGGTCAGGCTGGTCTCGAACTCCTGACCTCAGGTGTTCTGCCAGCCTTGGCCTCCCAAAGTGCTGGGATTACAGGCGTGAGCCACCGTGCCCAGCCTATACTTACTCTTTTTCTAAAAGCTGCCCTTTGCTGAATGCCCCCCCGCGGGGCTGAGCAGAGGACGTGTGAGCTGGAAAGTGTAGAAACCCCTTTCCCGGACTTTCTGAAACTGCAACACCATGGATCTGACTCAGGGTTGCCAAAGAACGGTTTCCACACTTCTCCAATTTCACAAGGATGCCAATGGCCCCGTTGCCGAGACGCACAGTTAGTTGCTGAACTACAGTTAGTGGATGTTGTTGTGGTGAAGGGGTGGCTTAGCTACTGCTGCTTGGGCACTGAACCTGGGTTGGCCTCTCGGGGCATGCCCCATGTTGTTTACTAGAAGGAGACCTGGTCACGCTGAAACACAGCAGATCCGTGGTAGGAAAGAAAAACAGATGCCGCCTGGCTTTGGGAAAGAATCTCTCTTCTCTTGCTGTCTTGTTCCTGAAGTTTGTGAAGTGCCTGCGGTATGTCAGGCTCTGTGCTGGGAGGTGAGAGAGAGGAAAAACAATAGCTATCCTTGACGTAGTGCAGAGCCCCAGGAGGCCTTCCTAGACCAGGACGGGATTTGGGCATCGAAGATCTCTGGCTTTCTGGGCACAGGAGAGTCATGTTTTCTCCTCTCTAGGTCTGGGGAGCTGCCCAGGCTGCACTGCCCTGGCTCCTGAGTCACTGCCATCTCTGCAATTCTCAGATCCAGGCCTTGGAGCCCCCTAGACTGGAAGAGCCATTTAGTCTAATCTCCCTATGTAGCACTTAAATCCCCCATGAGTATTTTTTTAGACTTTGCTTCCATGCCGCTTGTGATGGGAAGCTCACGACCACCTAGGCAGCTTTTTCCTAACTTGGGCAGCTTTGCTTCAGGTGATACCTCCCAAATCTGCCCTTTAGAAAGGCACTTAAAGAAACCGTCCTCGAACAAAGCTGTTAGAGGAAAAAAAAACTGGACTGGACCCCTTGGGAGGTCATCAGCCCTCCTCATTAGCCACCTTCCCCATCACCGGAGATGTGTGAAGTGGAAGCTGAGCTCCCACTTGACAAGGAGGATGGAGGATTGTTGATGGTTAGCATGTCCAGAAAAGAGTAGGGAACCTGTGTGTAGCTGGGGAAATTGAAGACTTTCAAGCAGTGCCGGAAGAAGAAGGAGTGAAGCCCAGGCTCTGACTTTCCTTTCCCTTTGCTCTGTGGCCTGCCCTTCCCCCTCCATAAGGCAGGGAAACACAAGTGGGCCTGGTGCCTTCCCGTCCACCCCCCCAGCCCAGCTTTGCCCATGCAGCTGTCCCAGGCCAGCTGTCCAGGCCCCAGCTGCCCGGCGGTCCTGGCTCCCTTTGCCCCACAGGGTCTGAAGGCTGGCGGTTGGCACTCCTGGATTTTCTGGCCTCTGAGTTAGGGTGAGGACAGTCAGCTTCTAGCTTCCCTCTTCCTCCCGGGGCCCTCCCCTCGCCTGGGGTCTTTTGGAGTGGAGGGGGCACAGCATGCCAACGCATGGTTTGTGTCATTTCAGAAGCACAGCTTGTGTCATCGGGGAGACTGTGAAAACTTGGAAACAACCTGTGTGTCCGATCTTAGAGTATCAGTTAAATGCTTTACGGGATGGCCACATCTGGGACTTTAACCTGGGGCCACTGGGGTTCCTGAATGGGTTTCCTGAGGTCCACGAACTCCCCGAAATTATTAGCATTACAAAATGCTAACTACACATGAATTTTTGGGGGGACTCTGTGAGCCCCCAAATGTTAATAAGTACTAATAGGATGGAAGCCTATGCAGCATATGAAACTATGAAGAGCATTTTATCAACATACAGAGAGTGAAGATCATAGAATGAAAAAAACAGGCTACAAAACACTATACAGAATGAGCCCAATTTTGTTTAGAACCATTTGTTATACACATACACACACACACACACACACGAATTATAGCTACTAAAATGATGCCAGCTTTTAATCTCTGGGGTGAGATACATTTTGCTTGATTTCTGTTTTTTCTGTATTTGTTGGGTGTTCTACAATGCATGTTTATTCCCTTTGTAGTAAGAAGCCGGACACTCACCCATTTTCTGAGAAGCCAGAATTCCCCTTCTCACCTTGGCAGACCCCACAACTCCCAGCCCCTAGTCCCAGAGGGAGTCTGTGGAACAAGCACAGGTCTCACCTCTGGGTATGTGTCAATGGATCACTAACTTCCTAGCCCCCTGTCTTCCAACAGAGTCTATCTGTGCAAGTTTCAGAGCCTGGGTCATGGAGGTGAGGGGTGAGGGTCTCCCTCTGTCATTTTGCTCCCACCAGCCCCAACCCCAGTGCAGTGGCTGACCCAGATCCTAACTGCCAAGCATCAGGTGCCTGGCACATGAGACTACTCATGGGACCCCATTTCCTAGCTGTGTGGCTTTGGGCTAGTTGTCTAACCTCTCTGGGCCTCTGCATCCTGTAATGGGACAGAGTTAGTACCCACCTCCTGGGGTTGCTGCAAGGGCAGAACGAGCTGATCCCCTCACTGGCCTGCCTGCCTTCTCTCTTCCCCCAGGAAGCTCCAGGACTGGCAGGATGGGCTCAGCCTGTATCAAAGTCACCAAATACTTTCTCTTCCTCTTCAACTTGATCTTCTTTGTAAGTATGTCCCATGCCGCCCTGACCACCTCCGAAAAGATTCTCCTCCCAGGGGCATCCCAGCCTGACTCCTTCCAGAGCCGACTGGGCCGGGGACTGGGGGGATTTGGGGGGTGGGGACTAAGGACGAACTATCTCCAATGGAACCTGCTGGGGGTAGCAAGGAGATTCCCAGGCATTCCCAGCTGGTCCTTTGACAAAGCACTAGATTCCTGACCCGGCCTTCCCCTCTCCTAGAGCACCCAAAGCCTGGGCTGGCCAGGGCTGGAGGTGGGTATGGGGAGGGAGAGGAGAGCCCCTGGGCATCCCCCTAATTCAACAGCAGGAGCTGCTAGAAGAAGCCTCTTAGCATCTCTCTAGTCCTGCCCTGGACCCCACCCTGCCCATGTGAAGAACTGACCTGTTACAGTTCGAGGCCCCAGTTGCCCCATCACACCCCCATCCCTGTCGTGGGAAGGTATGTCCCTGAGCTCTCATAGAGTAACCAACAGGGCGCCAGGCTTTGGGCTAGCGAAGGGCACGTACCTCCTTCCCCAGACCCACCCCAGCAGATGGGCCGTCCAGAGGTCAGCTCTGTGGACATTGACCGCTGATTTTCCCAGGGCCTCGGTTTTCCTCTCTGGCCTGGCACAGACCGCTTCTCGCCTTGGAGTTGCCGGGATGGTGGGGTGTGTGTGAGTGTGAGAGTGTGTCGTGAGGGGCAGTGCCCTGGAGAGGACTTCATAGCCTAGGAGTAGCGTTGGGGGC